GCCTGCTGTTTCTTTCTGTAAATGTTTCCTTCCCTGAACAAATACATACAAGGTTCTAAAGCAAAGTGGTATAAGGTTTTGCCCAGAAAGCAAATTTTGACTCATTACACACTGGTATATACTCTGGACACATCACGAGAAGGCAAGATTCTCTGGAAAAGACAATAATGCTGGGAAAGGTTGAAGACAACAGGAAAAGAGCAAGACAAATATGAGACAGATTGACTCCCTAAAGTGGTGGTTCCCAGTCTTGGGTTCCCAAATGCTCTTTGACTTCAGTTTCCCGAAATTCGAAGCAGAATAGCTAGTGATGAAGGCTTCTCGGGGTTTTAGTCCAAGAACATCTCGGGATCCAAGGTGGGGAATCACTGCCCTACAGGGTTACATTTACTAAACCTGAGCAGGGATGTTGAGGACAGGACATTTTGGAGATTGCTCCTTCATAGTGTTGCTAAAAGTCAGACACGACTCGATGTCACATTACAACAACATGTCAGGCTAAGACTTTCTAATTTCAGAAGCAGGACTTGGAAATATCCACACATTATCCATAGAAGAAAGTTTTTTTGTGATCACAAGATGTGGCTTTTCCCTGTTGTATGGGAATGGCATGGGAATGGGACAACATTCTCCTCATCTGTCTCTTCTTTCCCATAGGTAATTGTAGGACATACATTCTTGGATGTGTGGATCACCATGGGAGTTCAGACATTTGACAAATACTGTACTAAACCCCTGACCCACAGAAGCTGGAGTAAAATGGGCAAAACACAGCTGTCACATATTACTTGCTTCTTCACACTGCATATTTCATTATGAGCACCTTTGAGGTCAAAAGCCAAACACACAGCCATACTTTTTCCTGAAAACAAATTGTTTCAGCTCACTTTTTTCTTTCTTTCTTTCTTTCTTTCTTTTTTTTTGCAGAATCATTCTCTAGGTCCACATGAATTTATTTCTACAGGAACGTGGGATAGTGAAGGAGAAAGCAGATATAGGGAAGTGCAGGCTCATGCTGACCTAAATTTGACAAAACATTGTGTAACCATCCCCACACTATCAATTTTTAAAGGCACCAACGTTTGTGTCCCCCAGCTGTCAAAACTCCTCCTATAAATCATTAAACAGGAACATAAATACTAATGAATCACATGATTGGAAAACCTTTATCTTAGATAACGTTCTATTATTGGCAAGGCTATGTTTGAATCCCCAGAGTTGGTTCTGAGACCAAGTCTCTTAAATTTTCTGGAGAGATCTTAATTCAGGGTGAGGTGATTTCAGTGCCATTTGATTTCATTTGATTTGTGCCCAGATCTAAATCAATTTGTGAATTCAGATGGCCCCTTTCCCACTGACTTACAGTGGAAAATGAAAATGCTTGGCTATAAAAATTTTACCTTTGCACCAATATACAGTACAGTACGTTAAATTTGGAGACAGGATGCTAAAGCTGGACAGGTAGCTTCAGGGATCTGCATGCTAGGCATATTTCAAGTTTCCTTTTCTTAAAAAGGAAAATACAATTTTTTAAAAATTAAATTGCTCCCTCTTGCTCATTCATGCTGCTTGTGTTCCTCCCCCACCCACAAGCAATGCAGAAAAAAAGTGGCTGGTTACACAGAGAAAGAAAATAAAACTGCCCAGAACAATTAGAGCCAATGGCCAAATAGCTGTCAAAGGAAGCTTCTATTTTCTTGGAAACAAGTGAATGAATGATGTCCATATACAAACTTAATACATAAAAGGACTTCCTTTATTGTATGTTTTATGGCTTCATCTTAAAATTCAAGGCTATCATACTATAGATAAAGAGACAATATCAAATGTTTGATTCCCATCACTCCAAGCTTGGCCAATCAGATTTATTTAAGCATAGTTGAGAGAGTATTCTTCTGCATGAAAGGATGTGGCTCATTAACAGAAAACCTCTGATGTTAAACCATCTTTTTTTTATGGTGTTTTACTGCAGTTGAGAAGCTACTCTCAGGACACTGCTAGATCAGCAGCTGAAAGTAATACCAAAGAATCCCTTTGCAAACTACTGTGTACTTGGAATAAAGAACATTTAGAAGTCTGAGGTGATTAAATTTCCATTTGTATAATATCAGCAGTAAACAATGTTTGCTGCATGATCATTCATTTCATGCAAGAAACATTTAAATGACATTTATCAAAAGGAGGGGGGGGAGGTGAAGGGAGGAGGGGAGAAGAAAGAAATCCTTAGCCAGGCTATTGTTTTAAAATACACATGAAAAAGTACCAAAATTGTCAAAAAGGTGGGGGAGAAAAACTGCAGTGTCTAATAAGAAAATAAGAGAATCCCACATAGAGCAGGTCTCAGAAGATATGATGATAAAGAGCAATGAATGGATGTGATTACATTTAATAGACGGTATTTGCCAACATTTCCCATTCCTTCCCAGAATGTGTGGTTTCAAAGAGAAGATCATTATATACTAAAACTCAAAGCATAATGCAATGTTTTTAAAATGTTAACATATCCAACTAAATAATGACAACTATTAGTGTTCCATTCCTCAGTATTAAGATTTGCTTTCGACAGTTAAAAATGAGCAACCCGGCTTCCAGAAAGTAAACAAGCAAATCATTCAAACCTAAAAAGAGATTTCTCCATTCACTCTCTTTGCCCTTTTCTTTAATAAGATGACAGCAATGCAGCAAGAAAGCAACACAATTGATTTTGTTGCTTACTGTCTCCCATGATGCTTTTTCCAGAGTATTTTTAGTTGTTCTGATTAAAAATTTACTTCCTACGTACCACTGACAGCCTAGTTCATTTTTGGATAAGAATACTGCATATTTCTTTCTATCTTCTGTGGTGTCTTGCTTTAACTAATCCCCCAAAAGTGCTGTTTTCGTCTTACTCCTTTCAACTCAAAGCCCAACTTCCTGCATTAAGTGAGGGAAACTGCAGACACATAGATTCCCTGATTTATTGCATATAACAAAAAGAAACTGGAAAACATTCCTAGGGAAAAGGCAGAAGGCAGGGCATTTGGGGTGAAGTTGTGCTACAACGTCCCATGCAGTATCTCTTATTTTATATGATATGTTTAAAATTGGTTTGGAACCAAGGATCTTTAGGATAGTCAACATATGCAGATGGATCTGGAAGATGGATCTGGGAGGCAGCAAACTCATATTATGTGTAAAGATGTGTAATCAAGCTCCAGTGCGTTGAGGAGAGAAATACTAGACAAATGCACTACCTAAGAGTAACCCCACCAGCCACTTTCCCACACAATTCTTCTCACAAGCACTACCTTGCTCACCTTTTCCTTGCTCAAAGATAAATGCTTATCTGGAGCCTTCCTGCCTGGACAAGATTAAAGACATGCTGAGCACCACAAGGAATGTTAAATTTAAAAATGAACAGAATATATGTTTTACATTAACAGATTCTGGAGGCTCTTCATGCAGTGAAGCCCTAAGCTATATTTACTGAGCTTGGTAATGGGTCCAGTACTACTCCATTGTTAAACTCCTTCCTTCCAAAACTATTTTTCATTTCAAATAGATGATGAGTATTTCAGCGGACACAAGTAATTTGTCTCTAAGTGCACACTTTTGATCACAAATAGCTGATATCAGGAGGCAGCCCCTCTCACAGTTTTGGGGTGAGTCACCCCAGTCCTGATCCACAAGCCACCCCTACTTCGGATTCACTGTAAAATTCAATGGAAGGTATTGAGAATCCATTGCCTTTCATCTTAAACAACCTCACAAACCTGTAGGGAGGATAGAATGAGATACAAATATATTTATACATTGTCAATGCAAGGCTGATTAATTCAGTCTAACTTCCTAGGAAATCTTCACATCATTTCCACTGGCAGCTGTCTGAGGTGAGTTAATTAAGTGATTTTCTATATCCTTTTACATAGCTTTTTTTTTTCTGATAACACCTTTGGTAGGAAGATAATTTCCCCCCCAAGTATACATAATAGCATTCCACATGGGAATTTTAAGCTAGCCCTATCTGACAAATGTACACCGAAATTCTGTTTCTTACTGTAGCAAGTCACAACTAGAGTAGGCCCACTGAATCAGTGGAGATCTGTTGAGTCATTGCCTTCATAAGTTCAATTGATTCAATTGGCTTATCTAGTACCAACAGGATTTCAGCCACTGGATCTGTATTAGCTCATGTGTTACATGATAATATGGGCAATCTGGTTCCAAGCTGGAGAGTGCGTCCTCCAGAACGGCATGAAGAAATTCTAAGACCTTGAGTGAGGCTGTGGAATGTTCAGGATTTTTATCACCTTAAACAAGTTTCTATGATAGATACTGTTACTAGAATATAGGACTTCTCAAGAAAACCTTTTTATTTTTTTTATTGTGAATGGTATTTTCTGTCAAAAGAGGATTGAATGATAGTAAAGGTGGAAAAATTTTCTCAAAAAACAAAATGGAAGTACGATGCTAAAACGTGCAGGAATGACACACTGTACACACTATCTTTTATGTTTTCTTTTAATAAATTCTGTTCTGCCATCTTCTTGATACCTAAACATTACAAACTCCTGTGCCTTTTTCCCCTTGGCTACTATCCCCTGCACCTATGCTTGCCCATGAGTAAAAAATCTGTTCTCTTATATCCTCTCATCTTTCTTTCTTACCATTCGTCACCGACCACCATGACAGCACTGGTGATGTGAATTCACCATTTCTAAAATATTTTCCGCTAACCATTCCTCCTTATTGCCTTTAGCTTGCTCTTCTAATACACAACATATCTCTATGTTCAGCCCAATGCAGATGGCAGGTATATACACAAATACTGTTTGTACATTTAATTTATACTCTGCCTCCTAGTCTTGCAGGCCCACCATTTGACCCCAGTCCTCTGAGGACTGCAAGCTATATGGTTACCAGGTCATATCTGTAGCAAGCAGTACATATCTCCAAAGTATCTGTAGTGTAGAAACATCTCGTTGTAAGATTCTGAGAGTGGAGGAACGTGCTAGACTTACTTTGGATGTGTGAATTCATCAATAAGTTTGACCTTTTCCACCAAGTCTCCTCCAATAGTTCGGACTATGTCAAAGAAGTCATTTTCAGAGTATTTTTCAGAAGGCAGCCAAAAAGATATATCGTTGATCAGAGGTGGATATTTGCTGAAAGGCTAGAAAACATCAACACAAAATTAACATTATGCTCATGGATGCTCATTATTCTAAAGTGACTTGTGCAAGACTGGAATGGAGTTAGTAATTTCAAATGCTGCAATAATTACATTGTAGATTATCCTAAAAAACAGAATATAAATGTGTGTGCACACATGCTCATACACACCACTTATTTCTCTTTTCACTGCATCTCCATGCCCATGAAACCTAGACATCTGAATGTTTGTGTGGATGCTAAAGGAAACCTGAGCCTCTGCATACTGGAGTTGTATTTTTAAATGGTTTAATTTATATAGTGATGGTACAGAAATCTAATACTTGATGCAAGCTTAGCTAAAAAATTTCCTGAGCATGCAACTAATTTTTAATGTAAAACTAGACTCACTAAGCACTTATTAATAAACTTTAGAAATAACTAAATTTGTTTTCCAATGTTCAGTCAGCGCACCAAGCCTGAATTATGACTATGCGAGCACAAAGTAAGGGACACACAGCTATGTTGGCAAAATTATAGGAAGGAAAGGGAAATAAGAAAACAGAACTACAGTACCACCACCCAAAAATTAATGGGCAAAATACTGTGGCACTTCAAAAACGTAACACATTTGTTTCAGTGTGAGCTTTTGTGGCTCAAAATACACTTCCAAAGACTCATGAAGTGCTTGTGTTATGCCACTTGTACTTATATAGTGCTGGAAATGATGGCCAAGTGAAGATACAGGCAATAGACCTGGATTCCTTATAATGTTTGCACATGGGAGAATCAGGGGTAAGAGTAGGATGCTTAGTCTTCCCTATTCTCTCACATTCCTTTACACATTGTTCCCTAACTAGTGGAAATATAAGGAGAACTGGAGGAGAAATGAAGGAGGAAATGGGCAAATGTCTTCCGCACCCCCATCCTATCCACCCCAACCCAGTATTAATGTTAAGATACACATTTGCTATTGCAACCTGTACTTCTGCTCTCAAATGCACTGCCAAAGGACTCTTAGATGCATCAAGAATAAACAGTTTTCCTGACTTTGTTTTTCCATCCAAAGTAGTTGATGTGTGTTCTGATTAATACAATATATTATCTCAATAAGAAAATGTATTTTACGCCTGAAAAATGCTTTATGACAGAATAGTGAAATCCTAAGTGAATACCTGATAAAGCAATAAACCTGTAAGAAGGGTAAATTTATGGCGCAGAGATGCATACAGATCTGGCTGCACATGACGCAAACACTTTAATGAATATCTGATAAGGAAGACTGTGAGAGTTTAAATTAACAACCCCACAGCGATTCCAATTGTGAATCACAAATGATTATCCAACTTGTTACATGAATAAACTTGTCAAACAAATTCATCGCCTGTATAGCAACAGCAAAACTCAACCCTCGATAAAGCCATCACATGGATACTCTTGATGAAATACCAGCATACATGAATTATGTTTCCTCTGTTACACCAAAGCCACTGTTGCATGTTAAAGAGTCTCTACAGATAATGTATGGGCACAAAGCTCATGTGAACTAGGAGATTTTTATTATCGATGTAATAAACCACTGGAATGATTAGGGCAGTATTTTATGGCAAAAAAGTGATCTTTTCCACTACATACATTTGCATGCCTCAAAATTTCATTGACCCTAAAATATTTCATGTGTACATGTAGAAGATTTATACACGCATGCAAAATTTTATTTTTTCTGCTTTTAAGGGGATGAGCTGTGAAGGAAATGTTTTGGAGGAGAGGGGAATTGGGCAATCCAAAAGGCCTCCATAGGCCAGACTGGAGACCCCAATATGCCTCTACTGCTGCTACATTTATAAAATAATTTGGCCCCCACACATGAACCTCAACAAAGATAGCAAGTTTCAAGTGTACTACTATTCGTAAAGTCATATAAAACAAAATAAGAACTAAAAATAAAGTAAATAAAATGCCAACTTGGTGAAGAAGAGGGAAAAAGAAGTTACCTACCTGTAACCATAATTCTTCCAGTGGTCCTCTATGAATTCACACAAACGGGTTGTTTTGCACCTGCACTGAACGTCTTGGAAGATTCTAGAGCTAAAAGTAACAATTTTAGTGGGATGTTCCCCATGAGGCACATGCTCCGCCTACCCAAGTTTCCCCTCATTTCCAAAAATTTGTCTGCCGGGCAGAAGAGTCATTTAATATAACCCGTGATGGATTGAGGGGAGGATGGGTGGGATGTATGAATTCACAGAGGACCACTAGAAGAACTATGGTTACAGGTAGGTAACCTCTTTTTCTTCTTTGTGGCCTCTGTAAATGCACACAAATGGATGAATAGCAAGCTTCATTTACTGGATGGTGGGACATCACGGTAGGAAGGATGCCAAAACAGACCTGCCAAATCCAGCATCGGTGCGTGCTCTCACATCTAGGCGATAATGCCTGACAAAGGTCAATGGAGTAGATCATGTTGCAGTACGACAGATGTTAGGAATTTCACTACCATGCTGGAAGGCAGTAGATGTCGACAACGCTCTAGTGGAGTGTGCATTCAGATAATCAGGAGGTGGTTTGCCTGATAACTTATATGCCATGGTAATGATTTGGACAATCCATTTGGAAACGGACTGTGATGAAGCAGGTCCTCCCTTATGAGGTCCATGAAAGCATACGAAAAGTCTGTTAGTTTTCCTAAAAGTCTTAGTCCTGTCAATATAGCATGCAAGAGAGTGTTTCACGTCAAGCATATGGAGCATGTGCTCTAGTGGAGTTGATGGTGATGTGAAGAATGATGGTAATATGATTGGTTGGCTTAAATGAAATTCTGATACAATTTTGGCAAAAAAGAAACATAAAAATACAAGGTCACTTTATCTGGGTGGAATTGGATAAAAGGTGGATCAGATCAATGAGAGGCGAGTTCACTGGCTCTTTTAGAAGATGTTATAGCCACTAAGAAAGAAGAAAAGAAGAAGAAAGAATGATTGTTCTTTGAATGAGTGGTATTGCAGGGAACAGATAGAGCAACCCCTCGTTCCAATCTGTCATGAATACGTCCCCCGATGAAATTCTCGTCTGCTCTGGCTTGAGAATAATAAACCTTGCACTTGGTGTTTGTGCTGGAGGCAAAGACATCGACGGTCAGTATTCCCCATCTGAGGCAAAGTTGATCAAAGACGGTACTGTTGAGAGACTATTCGTGAGTTCTTGATGTCATACGACTGAGGTGGTCTGCTGTATAACTGTTGTAACATGTACCGCTATGGGAAAGATGCGATGTTGGTAACACCACTCCCACAGGTCGATGGAGAGATATAGGAGGGATAAAGAATGTGTGCCTCCCTGTTTGTTGACATAATAAAGAGCAATGGTATTGTCCATTGCCAATTGTACAACTTGACCCTCGATGATAGGTAGAAAGGCATGGAAGGCTCTTATGATTGCCAAGAGCTCAAAATGGTTGATATGCATTAACTGCTCTGGTTTTGTCCACAGCCCATGGATCTTGCGGTGTAGGCAATGAGCTCCCCAGCCAGTCGGGTTGGCGTCGGTAGTAACCTGTACTGTTGGTTGAAATGGAAGGAAAGGTCACCCAACGTGGAGGTTCGAGAGCAACGTCCACCAGGTAAGTTGTTTGGCCAATTCTGATGTCACTGCTAGTCATTTGAATGGGTGACCTGTCATAGGGTTGAATAACGTGAGATACCATGATTGGAAGGATCTCATCTTGAGTCTCACATGCTAAACTACCAAAGTCGTCGATGCCACCAGCCCAAGGAGATGCTGGACATGATGAGCTGGTATTTGAGCCTGAGATCGAAAGGGTCAAATCGCTCATTTTAACTTTTTAATTTGTTCCAGAGGGATGAAAGCTCTGGCCTGCAAGGAGTCGAAGAGGGCTCCTCTATAGGTGACTCTCTGTGATGGTTGAAGACGAGACTTTTTGTAGTTTACCTTGAGTCCTAGGCTTCGAAGTGTCAAGTATGATGGTTGTAGCTCTCATGGCATTGTCGTATGATGTTGCAACTATCAGCCAGTCATCGATGTAAGGGTAGATATTTATACCCTGTAGCCAGAGATAAGCTGCAACTGGTGCTATATACTTTATGAAAGTCCTCAGTGCCATAGAAAGTCTGAATGGTAGGGAATGGAATTGGTAAACGGTATTGTCGAACTGGAATCTGAGGAATTTCTGATGAGATCGGTGGATTGAAATATGGAAGTAGGCATCCTCCAGGTCAATTACAACAAACCAATCTCCCTGTGAAAGGAGGGGGATAATTTGCGAGGCCGAATGAATTTATTAAGATGTCTAAGATCAAGGATAGGACGAAGTCCTCCATCTTTCTTAGGTACCATGAAGTATTTAGAATAGAAACCATTGTCCAAATGAGATGATGGTACTGTAATTATGGCACACTTTCGAAGAAGGGTGGATATTTCTTCTTGGGTGAGCGGAGCATGTGCCTCAGGCAGAACATCCCACTAAAATTGTTACTTTTAGCTCTAGAATCTTCTGAGACATTCAACGCAGGCGCAGAACAACCCATTTGTGTGCATTCACAGAGGCCACGAAGAAGAAAAATAGTTCTATTAAACAAAATACTTGGTGAAAAGGGAATAACTAAATACTATAAATTTTGATGGGGAGGACAGGGAGCCTTCTAAAGAAGATTTCTAGAAACATTTAATAAACATTTTCCAGTTCTGCACTCTTAACTAATGCACTGTACATTTATGCTATGATAAGCAAAGAAAGCTGGTGTTAAAAAAACACAGCAAAGAATCAGATTCAATAGCTAATAGATTAAAATGGACTATGGCAAAACATACAAACTGCATTTGTTTTCTAAATAAACACTTTGCATAATGAAACATGGAATCATTACGAATCCATCATTTGTGGAAATTTCAGTGCACATTACAAAATTCCTGGTTAGTACAATGACTAATAAGATCAAACTATGAAAACTTGCATTTCAAATTTTCCTAGCAATTTGTTTTCCAGTCCTAGCTCCAGGTTAA